GCTTTGGCGTTCCCATCACAGTCCCTTTGTAAAAGGCAGATGCAGGAAAAGAATAAGAACGCTACCAAGAAGCATGATGGTTGGACAAATCAAAATTCGAAAAGTACTTAAATGAAAGTTGATACTAGTAAAAGGCATATTCACAATAATAGGAATACTAATCCTCAGATGGGGACGTGTTCTTCAATGGCCGCGATAGTTGGAATTAGCTTCGAGCCGCATCTTTCAATGAATTACAGCACCTGTGCTAGGCTAGAACTACCGTTCGAAGCATGTTTAGAATTGCCCACTACACCCATATGACAATTTCCATAAACAGGGGGACCCTCATATAGACCCCAAGCACTATACTGCAGATTGTAGCGACTTCTGAAAGCTACCCCTAAGTTGGGGAAACACCGTACAACCCCGCCTTTGCTTTCTGCCAGGCCATCTTGCAGCTTGACATAGCGAAGTCGACGACGCTGGAATCTACCTTCCTTGGGCTTAGTATGGCTAAGTGTGATATATTGGCAAACTACCCAAAAATATTGGAGATTCACAGTAAGATAATAGTCCTTATATAAAATACTATACCCCAAAAGGAGGATATAATCTTACTCTATATGGGGTACCATAGTATCCCCAAATAAAATACTACTCAAATGGAGAATGACATGGAAACTGCGCAGGGCTGTGGGGATATAGTACTTCTGTATGGATCCATTCCTCCATCCCATGCTACCTGCCAGAAAAGAAAAAGGGTTCCGGATGAAATGTCGACCCTAAACCCTAATCCCGGGTCCGCTGACTACCCTAAACCCTAAAACCCTAAGTCCTAAACCCTAGGTCCTTGCCTATCTAACAAACACCGATCTTGCAAAGCAGGAAAACGAAGACACCACTAAACTGAAGCAGTGACAACGCAGGTAGAATTGTTATAGTCCCCCTTAAGTAGATAGAATGGTTTAAGGTCTAGGGTTAGAGTCCCCCTTAAGTAGATGGTATATGGCTTTGGGTGTATTGTAGTAAGATCTCCATATATCCCGTATTCTATCTACTTAAGGGGGACTATAACCCTAAACCCTACATAGTAGTTTCCATTTTCTTTTCCATTATCCCCAATATAACCATAACCATGGGGGAATAGAAGGGTTTCCGCTTAGGGTTGGTGGCTTTCGGGGTCCCAAAACCCAACCTGGGACCATCGCCGTCCTCTTTGGGGAGATGGCTAGTTAGCAAGTCCATCTGATAGGCACGCCCCAAGAGGCTGTCAAAGTTGGGGTCGAAAAGGGGCTATATCAAAAACAGATAGGCGCCCAAATAGCACCACAATATTCAGGTCGATCTGAGGTACCCTATACCATGACCTACAAGGAATCTACGCCCGGTAATAGACACATACATTGCTTGAATTTTCCTCTTTGGGCTTCCACCATGACCCAACACTGAATCCTCAGGCCCAAACCGTGGTCAGGGAGGCAGGAAGGTATATTCCCCCTTAAGTAGATAGAATATGGCTTTGAGCATATTATACTAAGATCCCCATATACCCCACATTCTATCTTTTCAAGGGGGACTAGACGTTAAAATCAAGTGCTCGCATGAAGTTTTAGGCCTCGAGCGAGGGTGTCACACAAGCGGCACCTTGGAAGAGCCGGGATATACAGGGACTATACAGGGAGCACACGGTTGATACAAATAGTCCTGCAAGACCCTACGTGCCTTCTACCTTGGGAATAATAAGCTATGGTTTTTAGAGCCTTAGACCCTAGACCTTAAACCCTAGACCTTAAACCCTAAACCCTAAAACTTAAGCCCTAAGCCCTAAACCCTAAACCTTAAACCCTAAACCTTAAGCCCTAAACCCTAAACCTTAAACCCTAAACCCTATCGGTAGGTCCCAGGTTCAGGTCCCGCGAAGCAAACTCAAATGCTGTCGCCTGGGAGCCCAGCGCCGCCAGAACCACCTTACTGGGTTGCTGTTAAGGAACTTAAATTAAGTTACCGTAATGGCCTACAATGGAGAATCAAATGGAAA